GGTCCAGTCACAACTTACTTGTAGCTTTAACACTACACCAATGGTACGTAAAGGTATGGGAGTTTTACACTATGGAAAAGATAATGACATCTGAATCCCCAAGCAATAGCTTTGCAAGGCATTTTTTGTCCTATGCAAAATGGGTGAGCTTTATTGAAGCGACAATTGATAAATCTATTATCCCAGTTTCCTCTATACCACAACGCTATAAAGAAATAATTGCAATTTTTTAAGGTTACCTGATAGTCCTAATTTTCAACATTATCGTTTAGCTTGTTTGTAGTAAATGTTAAATTAGTCGGATAACTATTGTTGTTATATTTAACTTGATTTTTTAGTTTATGTATCATTGTAGGCATTTATCGCAAATAGTAAACTAATTAATGTAATTGTATTTCAAATTTGTATCAAGTGAAATATACATTTTATTATAATGTTGAAAAATTATTTAAAAAATATAAATTTAAAAAACAACAACAACTGACTTGTAGCAATCCCGTAGGGTTTTCACGGCAAGAGGTATTCAGAGGTGGTTTGCCATTGCCTGCCTCTGTGTAGGGACCCTGGACTTCTTAGGTGGTTTCATATCCAAGTACTAACCAGGGCTGACCTTGCTTAGCTTCTGAGGTCTAACCAAATTGGGTTAGCCAGGACTATTCTGGTCAGGGCTGGACTAAATTATAGTAGATAAATGATATCAGTACCAAATATTAGTAATTAAACAATATTTCCTCGTAAAAGAATGAGATATTACATTTCAAAAGTAATAAATGGCTCCCATTTATTTTATGTAATCAATAATTGCTAATTATGAAGAAGAAGAGAAGAGATTGGATTTATACCCCACCCTTCACTCAGAGTGGCTTACAAACTCCTTTCCCTTCCCCTCCCCACAACAGACACCCTGTGAGGTAGGTGGGGCTGAGAGAACTCTTGACACAAACTGCTCTTTCAGGAACAGCTGTGCCAGAGCTTGTGACTGACCCAAGGTCATATCAGCAGGTGCAAGTGGAGGAGTGGGGAATCAAACCCGGTTCTCCCAGATTAGAGTCCGCACACTTAACCACTACACTGAACTGGTGGTGGAATATATGATGGATATATTAATGATTTATATCACTTGCTATAAGGTTAACGATTACAGCTTAATAACTATCATTATTCAGAATACGATAAACCCCTTGAAATAAATGAGGGTTTTCTTCTAAGTAAATATGAATACAGGAAATGAGTTTGAAATGTGAATACTGTAAATAGAGGCATATCAAATGGAGGAAAGTGATTTCGACATTAATTTTTTCTTGCTCAATATAAGTCATAACATTTCCCCTCAATGTTTCATTCATGATTTAGGGAGGAAGGATCCAGCTTGCCAACTGAAGCAGGGCCCATTGTTACCAGCTGATCAACTGCATCCCTACCATTGGTGCTTCTGATCTGCAAGCCCTGGCAAATTAGGCTAACTCCACCCCACCTCCATGACCGATATCTCTCTCTATGAAACATTGTAATTGTTGATCCCGAGACGTATTTCCAGAACCCCAGCCAAATGAGGCCTTGCTGCAACTTGATGGCGCTCATCCTATCAACGTTACCCAACTGCATTTCTATCATTTGTTGATATCAGTTCAGATGTCTCCACAGCATGTCCTCTGTTCCAGAGAGTTCAGTTATTGTCAGACAGACTTGGGATCAATTGCCTGAATGAAATTCTGTAACCCAGGTCCAGAAGAGCTGCTGTAGTAGTCAAGTAGCTCTTCGGAGAGGCGACGTATAAATTTTCTAGCAACACCAAAGAGGGAGTCTTGTGCCACCTTAAAGACTCACCTGATCTCTTGTGGAGGAGACTATGCAAGGTCTAGTTCTGATGCACTCTTTATGTTTTCTGCCCTCTTTTGTCTCCCCCTTCCATATTGATCCACGGGATGGATTACCTCCTTTTTCCTGTCAGGGTTCCCACATCTTTATCAAGTTGTAAATTCAAGTTATTTGGAGTGCCTGAATGACAGTTTTAATTACAGGGCTCCGAGTTCCTTGGAGAAACAATCAGACCAGAATGTAATGAACAAAGAATATAAATGTATGTCGAGACACACACAATGCTAAGACAAAAGAAGAATCGTGTTGTATTAAAATTCAAAGTACATAAGACATTTTGAAGCATTCATTTGTTCATTTTTGCATCTGGCGTCTAATTTGACCATCAGTGGTGCCAAGGGAGAGACAAGAGAAACACAGCCAAGTGGTCCGTGTGGAGGACTGCAGCAATCCCCCCCCCCAGTTCATGAACTGCTACCGAATGAAAGTCAGCATCCTCACCCCATCTCAGCTGTCATGTTTGTTTTAAAAACTTATTTCTAGAACTTTAAGCTGCAGAAGAATTAAAGTATGTGGGTTCACCTCTGGAGATCTCTTAGAAATACCTCCTGGTTCAAAATACAGCAGCACAAGCGCATAAGGTGGTCCCTGCAGCGACACACCAGTGGTCCATCTGGATCAACATTGTTTCAGACAGTGGCCAACCAGTTGCCCTGGAGCACTGAAGCCAAGGTGTTCCCCCACTGTCGCTTCCCAGTGCTGGCATTCAGAGGCTTACTGCTTAAGAATGTGGAGGTTCCAGTCAACTTGGCTAGTAGCTACCGAAAGATGGACCTTACTTCATGGATGTGTCTCAGCCCCCTTTAAGGCTATCTATTCTAATGGCCATCACTGTATCCACTGGCACTGTATTCCAGTTTAATGACACGTTGAGTAAAGCAGCTTTTCCTTTTGCCTGACCTGAATCTATTGCTAACAACATTCACCAGAGCGGTGTAGTGGTTAGTGGTGGACTATGATTTGGGAGACCCAGGTTCAAATCCCTATTCTGCCATGGAAGATTGCTGCGTGACCTTGGACTGGTCACACACTCTCAGCCTAACCTACCTCAGAGGGTTGTGAGGGGAAAATGGGACAATTATGTAAGCAACTTTGGTCCCCAGAAGGGGGGAAAGTAGGGTATAAATGAATTAAACAAACTTCACTGGATGACCTCAAGTTCTAGTATCTTGGGAGGAGAAAAAGTTCTACCCACTTTCTCCAGCAAGGCAGTTGACGGGGAATACAGCCATATTGTTTTCTGAGAACCACATTGGTTATCAGTTTGCCTCCAACCACAATTCAAAGAGCTGGTTTTGACCTTACTTCGTCCAGGACCATGGTGCCTGAAGAACTGTACAAGCCTGCCCATCCATAAAGACCTTCAGGAAAGGTCTCTTTGCAAATGCTCCCGCCATTTGAAGGGAGGTGACAAATGGGACTGTCGCATGTACAAAATCCGGCCATGGAGACAAGTCATGTGATTTGCTGTCACAGCATGTGTGCATTTCTCGAGATGGTATGAAGGGAGCCCCAAAGAAATCTTTGACTGAGGGGATAAACATCTTTGACAAGAAATAAGGCACTCTTAGGGCAGTGCTCAGTTCTGGAACATTCTTTCCCCCCCAAGACTCACCTGGTGCCTTTTTTGATGGTGTTCAAGCATCGGGTGAAACTCAGCTGTTTTGTTCAGCTTTTCCCAAACGGACTGAATTACCTGCTGCCTGCCTTCTGTATTGTAGCTGGCGATTGTCAATTGTACTCCTATAACAAGGGTGGCTGTCTTTTAAAAGTCTGACCAGTTTTTAGTCCTTGTTATTGCTGGTAGGACGTAATAGTGTAGGAATAATTTTATTTCTTTGTGAAGTCACTTTAAACTGTGGGAAAGGAAAGCCAGGAAAAGCTTTTAAGTAAACAATTATTGAAACGGGATGGAATTCTAAAAGCCATAGGGTTGGATACTGACTCCCCTTCCACCAAGTCTTCGCCTAACAGAGGAAAAACCTCCAAAGAAACAGTTTTTTTCATCATAGGAGGCCTTTCTTCACCAGAATAATTCATGGAGGAACTATTCACCAGAATAATTCATGGAGGAACCCTTGAAGGCTTAGCAGAATAGTGTCATAGGAATCAACTCAGTAGAAGGGAGTCACAGGATCCAACCCATAGTGACTGAGCAGGATTCCAGGGGATGGGGCTTCAGTAGTTTGCCTATTGAGAGCCCATCTGTTGTAATGCTTAGGGTGTTTCATGAAGGCCTTGGAGACCCAGGTTCGAATCCACATTTGGCCATGAAGCTCAGTACGTGATCTCAAGCGAAGACAAAAGAGGCCGGGGGGAGAATAATGCGTGTGGCCCTGGACTTCGGAGACAAAGAATGGGATAAAGATGGACAGAGTGCCATTTGGCCCTTCCTTATGGATAAGAGCAGAACTCTTACAAAGCAGCAAATGTGGCTGATTTTCCTGGACTTACACAGAGTCTCACATACAGATTAACCTATAACTTGCAAAAAAAGTAGCAGTCGAAATCTCAAATCTCCAAAGCAGCAGGGAATGATTTTGCTGTTTTCCTAGACCTCAGAGCAAAAGATCAGGGGCAGGCCCGAGTTTTATGTATTGCTTCCCTGGTCATGCTTAGGGTTGACCACATGCCTGGGGGGGAAAAATGTCCAGTCCCTTTAAAAGAAATAAGCATAGAAATAAGCAACTGAACCTTTTCATGACACGTGGGTCACCCGGTAAATACCACCCTATTAAACCCCTAAGTTATTTTTCTCCAGGCCTGTTGGCATCTCTAATCTGTTAACCATTCATAACCATATCCAGTCCTTTATTCTACCGTCCACCCAATTTCCTTTCATACATTTGGGATCTAGCTCAACAAGAGTCCAGCGCCTGCTCCTGTTCCATCTTCCACAAGGTAGCAAATCACAAACCAGGAACAGTTTATAGAAAGCTCTTTATTTGAAGCTGATTCAAAAAAATGAGTCAATCCTTGTGTTTTTTAAAGGAGGTCCCAATTGTCTCAAGTGTTACTCCAAAGAGGGAAAGAAAAAGAAAAAAGATAAATGTCCTTCAAGAATTTGCTTTCCCCTTTTCTCCCCCTAAAACCGAGGATCTCTGCAGAGCTGGAGGGGGAGGGGAAAGAGCCACAGATTGGGGGGGGGCCTCCGTGCCTCTGCACATCCCAAAACTTTGCGGTTATTTATAAAACTGAATCCAGTTCAGAATTGAAGCATCTTTCCCCCGTCTTAAATTCTGCAGCTGGCTGGTCCGAGTTTGCCCTCTTTCCTGCTCATATCCCAAGGCCGATCAATTATCTACTAGTTAAATTACTCTTCTTTCAGGAAATCCTGTCAAGGGTGACATTTTATTCCCATCCTACAGCAGCTCACCTTTCTAGTCGGGGAGGGGAACCTCAGATTCTTTCCTACAACCCTCCTTAGGGGCCAGCAGGGATATAAATAGCCCCCCCCCCAGAGTGAAAATGAAGGAAAACCTACGTGGATCTACCCTCCTTCCCCTTTGTTTTTCAAGACAGGAACGGTGGGAGGGATAAAGTGAAAACAAAGTGCTCGGGGAAGTTGAAACTACCACTGGCAAAAAAAAAAAAGTGTGTGAGAGAAAAGGATGATACTCCTGCATCATGCTGATTTACAAATTAGGTTTATTGACTGGATTTCTTGTGTCGGAGGGAAGGAAGAGGGGAATCTGCTACCAAGGAAACACCTAACCAGATTTAATTTGGAACCGTGCTCTAGGGGGGGGATTGGGGGAAAGGGCCACATCTCCCACCTTGCAGCACGGGACAGGAGAAGCGGCTCTTGTCCCAATTCTCCTTTCTATATGAGGACTTAAAAACGCAAATGCCCTGTGCCGCGTGGAACCCGGCAATCCTGAGGCCAACAGAGTGGGAGGCTCAAATGCTGGGAAGTCACCCTCTGAGGACCTCCTGAGACACAGACCCAGCGACTCAAGACGCTCTGTGATACAGTACAAAACAGGAGAATGGAGACCAGCTTAAGGGAGGCAGGAAGTACAGCTTTCCCACCCACTCAGCCATTCGTCACATGTTTCAGGGAACAGTGCTCTAGCTACTGAGGAGAGGGGTAGGGGAAGAGACCCTCTCCACAGATTGTGAAGGGCCTCCCTCTTCCTGGAAAGGCTACACAGGGGAAGTCAGCAGGGCTAACCTGTCAAGATGGAGGACAATGAAGCAGCACACAGATCAAGGGGCGTGCAGGTCCCCGTCCCAGGATCCTTTGCAGTGGGCACACAATCCAAGCATTTGTGTCTCCAGTGTCCTTCGCCACACTGCAATGGATTCCGGGACACGCCACTGGCGTTCCGTGGTGCAGCCACTTAGGATGGCAATAAAATCTCAGGCCAACTATGTAGGGCACAGGGGCACAGGAGGAGCTGTGTTGGATTTCATGACAACCCGCTTCCCGCCTACCCACCCAAAGTTCCCGTTTTCAAGTTTCAGATGGTTACATGGATGGGGCTCTGGAGGTGGTCGGGGAGGTCGGGAAGGTCTGGCATGTCTGGCCCCATGGAGGACCCTCTCAAGTGGATTCTCTGGTGGTAGATCATACTGTGTCTCCGCCTGAACCGCACCCCGCACTCCCCGCATTGATAGGGCCTCTCTCCGGTGTGGATTCTCAGGTGCCGAGTGAGGTGAGACTGACGGCCGAATCTTTTCCCACACTCGATACAAGGATACGGTCTCTCCCCGGTGTGGGTTATCCGGTGCCGAGTCAGGTGAGATTGTCGGGTAAACGTTTTCCCGCACTCAGCACAGGGATACACCTTGCTTCCCAAGTGGGTTTTCTGATGTCTCGTAAGCCCGTAGAGGTCGTGGAATATTTTCCCACATTCCATGCAATGATATGATTGCTTTTCGGTGTGGGTTCTCTGGTGGGCAGCGAGCTCCGAGGGCCATATGAACCCTTTCCCGCACTCTGTGCAGAAATAACGTTTTTCACCTGTGTGGATTCTCTGGTGCGTGGCAAGCTCCGATGGCCATCGGAAGGCTTTGCCACACTCTCCGCAAACGTGGCGTTTCTCAGCGACGTTGGCTGACAGGTATGTAGGAAGGAGTGGCGGCTGACCGTCGCTATTCATGCAATCTGCGATAAGAGAAAAGTTGTCTCCAGTGTGGGTTCTCTGGTGCGCGGCTAGCTCCGACGGCCACTGGAATCCTTTCCCACACTCTGCACAGAGGTAGTGTTTGTTTTTGTTATGGGTCTTCTGGTGCGTAGCGAGCTCTGACGGCCACCGGAACCCTTTCCCGCACTCTGGGCAGAGATGGGGCTTCTTGACCGTGTGGGTTTTTACAACCTCGACAGCTGGAGGTGTTTTCTCACCCATGAACAGATTCTGGTGGCCCGGGAGTTCTGACGGCCACTGGAACAATGTCTCGGGGTCCAAGGCGTAATGCGGCTGCTGGCCCGTGTGGATGAGTTGGTGGATAGCCAGTTCTGTTGGCCACCGGAACCTCTTGCCACACTCAGTGCAAAGGTGGCATTCTTCACCCATGTGGGTCTTCTGGTGCCGAGTGAGATGTGAAGATCGGCCGAACTGCTTCCCGCACTCGTCACAGTGGTAGGATTTGGGCCTAGTGTGGACTTTTTGGTGTAGGGCAAGCTCCGACTGGCACCGGAACCGTTTCCCGCATTCTATACAGGGGTGGCGTTTCTCTCTCACGCGGATCCTCTTAGGAACCAAGTGTTGCATCGCTCCGTTGAGCCGTTCTCCAAATACAAACTGGGGGTCTGCTCGGCTGGGGGTCCTGGCACCTGCTTTGGAGATGGAGCAGGAGAGAAATTCACGTGCTTCATACACATGAATCCACCAAAAAAAAGGCATTTACACATCCCTCGCAAACAGAACTGAACCTGATTTAGTTCTTGTTTGACAGAACAACTTCGGTTCCCAGTAATGGCCATGTTCTCTTTTGATTTGGAAAAAGTGCAGAAAAGGGCAACTCGAATGATAAAAGGGTTGGAACACTTTCCCTATGAGAAAAGGTTAAGGCGCTTAGGGCTCTTTAGCTTGGAAAAACGACGACTGATGGGTGACATGATTGAGGTTTACAAGATTATGCATGGGAAAGAGCAGGTAGAGAAAGAGGTACTTTTCGCCCTTTCTCACAATACAAGAACTCGTGGGCACTACATGAAATTGCTGAGCGGTCGGGTTAGAACGGATAAAAGGAAGTACTTCTTCACCCAAAGAGTGATTAACACTTGGAATTCACTGCCACAGGAAGTGGTGGCGGCTACAAGCATGGGCGGCTTCAAAAGGGAATTAGATAGGCATATGGAGCAGAGGTCCATCAGTGACTATTAGCCACAAGGTATAGATAGGGACTCTGGGGCAAGTGATGCTCTGTCTTCTTGGTGCTTGGGGGGGGGGGCAACAGTGGGAGGGCTTCTAATGTCCTGGCCCCACTGGTGGACCTCCTGACGGCATCTGGTATTTTTGGTCACTGTGTGACAGAGTGTTGGACTAGATGGGCCTTTGGCCTGATCCAACATTGGCATCTCTTATGTTCTTATGATTTCTGAGAGGTAGTCTCGTCTTAGATTATTTTAGACATAGATTTTCATCTGAGACTTAGATTTTTACACCGCTTTAAAGATTCATGGCTGGGCAACGATTTATCATTTCTGCAACTCTGCACCCAATAAACACAGAAAGTACTGGGTGTGGAACTCGGCACCTGAAAACCTGAGGGCCAGACTAAACAGGACAGGACCACTCATCCCTGTTTATTCATGGTATGCAGGATGGAAAGTTCCTATTTTTCATGCAAGGACAGCTTGGGACAACACAGGTGAGAGGAACTAGACAGCCCATCATGGGCTCCTTGTGCAAAACAACAGGCATTCCCTCCTTCCTGCATTCCAGCTTGGCCCCCTGGGTTTGAAGCGCTTTTCTCCCCAGCTTACCGTACTTCTGGTATCAGAGCTCGGCTGGGTGAAAAACGCTTACAAAATGAACATAAAGGTGAGGATGAGAAATGCAGAGTCAACTGCACAGTACAGAGAGGCAAGACAAATTAAGTACATTTGCTTAATTTCGACAATTTATGCCAGGTTGGGGGGGGGGGAACCATCTTAGCTCGGTGCAAGATTTGGATTCTCCGGGCACAGTTTTAATTACGTTTAATTTTCAGCGTGGATGACATGAAGCTGGGGCCAATGAATCACAACATAAAAGCCAACACAGAACAAGACGCCTGGAGAGTCCTGAAGCTTGGGTTTATCCAAACTCCCCCACACACACACACAAAATTGCAGCTGTGGTAGAAGAATAATCAAACTAAGTAACTGTAAATTTGCTACCCCTGAGCAAGAATCCGTCATCATTCACCTGAGATAAGCAGTTTCACCCTGCTTGAGGGGAAGGCTGGCCTTGGAGATGACCCCCCACCTGCCTTATACGACAGCCTTGCTTTTGGAACCTACCTGAACCTCCTTCGTCTGCTGAAGAATCCCACGTTGCCTCCGTGTCAGAAGAACCTGCATGGGAACAGGAGGAGCCAGGCCTGATTTAAACTCAAGGAACATTTCAGAGCATGCCAACTATGGTAAAATGCATGGATCCCTCCCCCCTCCTCCCTGAGCAATTCTCGCCTGGGTTGTTCCCACAACAGGACCCTTTAGTGTTGCCAAGACACTGATTTGCCACAATCTGATGGCAGCAGAATTAAAACTGTGGTTCAGCCCTGTAGCTAACAATGTTTTGCTTGGGGAGCCAGTGTTTTGCTTTTGGGGCCGGCCATTATGTCTGTGCGGAGCTGCCACACCACGCTTATGCTTCTAAGTAATAACTAATAAATGAATAATAAATACAAGTGCCTTAAAAATGGCCAGAGTGATACAGTTTTTAAAAATATATACTGAATACAGAAGTATAAGGAAGGGAGAATCAGTGGAAATAGACACACACCCCCATTCTTACAGAAACCAAAGTGCTTAGTGTCATATTAGCTTTCCAATTCTAACTGGAGATGCCCAGAACTGAAACAAGAACCAACCCGCCCAACAGACACCCTCCCCAACAGTAAAATAACAAGAACATGGATATACTAAAAGGAATGACAGGATTGCCCATTGGAAACAATGGGAGAGATTTGAAGGCCCATTGGAAATAATGGGAACCAGGAGTGTCAATTGATTTGCATGGGTTCCATTGAAATACATTACAGCACAAGAAGAGTTGCAAAGAAAATGTGGAATCTTTTGCTGTAATGTATTCCAAAGGAGCCCAAGCCCCCTACCCTCCAAGCCCAAATAACTATAGCAACTTCCACAAGAACAACAACTTTTGTGTCTTTAATACACCCACCCCCCAGCCGATCTCACCCTCTAATCTGGAGTCCTGCATGTGGGAGACGGGGAGGTGGTAGAAATGTGGCATAGGCACTGGGGGCTCAGCCCCACCAGAGGATTACTGGACGGAGTGGCGGGAGGTGCACAACAATACCGCGTGTACAACAACACCGGTGTCCAAGTAAGGAAGTCAAGGAGGAAGCCAGGCTGCTGGGGACGATGACATTGGAGGAGGAGGACGAAGGAGGGGAACACCTGAAGCCAGGAAGGAGGCGCTGGCCAGGTGAGGCTCAGGCAGGCAGGCTGTAGTCAGTGCTCTCCTATCAGTTTAATTAGCAGTTTCCACTCCTTTCATTTAAAGCAATTTCAGGTTCTCAACCTCTGGGATTAAGTTTCTTGTTGCTTATTTGGAAGGCTGCAGCATTCCTGACTTATCTCTTACCATAAGGGGGACAGGACTGGGTGTGGTTAACTCTTGGCTTTTTCTTTGCAGCCAAAGCTATTTTCAGTCATTTGGGTTCCTTCACTTTTTCAGGTGCAACTAAGGGAGGGGAACAGTAACAAGCAACTGATTTGGCTGCAAGGAGAAAAACAGAAATTAAACCACCCCCTAACCACTCACCCCAAGTAGGACAGACTCATTCAAGGTCAATTCAGGACTGCTGCTGCTTCAAGAGTGTAAAGGAAGGAATTAATTAAGAAACTGAGAAGTATGAGTTTCTTTAAAAAGGGAAGTGTGAAGGAAAATCAATGCAACAGTTACCCTAGACAGATCGCACAGAACTTTGTCAGGAGTCACTGAATACATCAATTGTGTTTTAAAGAACAAATGCTACAAATCAGGTCTGAGTAAAAGACAGGAAAACACAATGGAAAACACTGGAATGCATCAGTGTGGGTAGGAGATGATGTCATCTGGATTCTTTGTAATGAATGAGTGATTCAGTGCATTAAGTCCACTGAAGTCAATGGGCTCAGAAGGGTATCACAATGCTCAGGACGGCACTTCAAATGCTAAGGGTTTGACACTTGGATTGCCTTCTACTTTGCCAAGGCCCTTGAACGATAGGTAGAAATGATAAACAAATAAATGAATAAAATAATTATAGTAATGTATGGCTGCGAGAGTTGTACCATAAGGAAGGCCGAGTGCTGAAGAATAGATGCTTTTGAATTATGGTGCTGGAGAAGACTCTTGAGAGTCCCTTGGACTGCAAGGAGATCAAATCAGTCAATCCTAAAAGAAATCAACCCTGACTGTTCCCTGGAAGGCCAGATAATGAAACTGAAGCTCGTACTTTGGCCACCAAATGAGAAGGGAGCACTCACTGGAGAAGACCCTGATGCTGGGAAAGATTGAAGGTCAAAGAAGACGGGGACGGCAAAGGATGAGATGGTTAGACAGTGTCATAGATGCAACAAACATGAAATTGAGCAAACTTCAGAGGACGGCGGAAGACCGGAAGGCCTGGCGTGATCTGGTCCATGGGGTCATGAAGAGTCGGACTCAACTGTGCAACTGAACAACAAAAGTGTACAGAGGGACATCAGGAGACAGAATTTGCTCATTCCAAATTAAAGCAAAACTCCACTAAGCACTGTACCTATAAGGCCAATTTAAGCATTATCAGTCCTTTTACTGTCCACTGGACAGTTCTGAATCTTCTGTCTAGACTTCCCAAGCCCTCCCCAACCCTCTCTTTATTTGGAGAGGCTGGATTCAGAGTCTGGAGAGAGGTGTTAGACATCCGGCTCCCTGTGGAGGGATGTCAGAGCAAAGAGAAGGGCTAAATATTTCTGGGAGGTTGTGTTCCTCAACTAGTCATTTCTAAAGAAGGTGTGGCAGTTGCCTGGCTCCCTTCACCCTCTTTGGGCAAACCAGCTGTCCAGACTGTATCTTTGCTAGCCCCAGGACCATGGTGCTGGCCAGACCCTGTCACCTCCCAAGGCCTTCAGAAGGCGTCTCAGAAGACAGCTCTTCAACCCCCATTTGGGGGGCCCTGATCCTACACTGGCTGAAGTCCCAGTTGCTGTGAAACTCACATAGACACAGTGAAACAGGCATGTGTGTTAGTCTCACATTATTGCGAAACACATGGTTCCCCTATAGGAGAGAGCCTTTTAGAATTTCAAAGAAACTGCTTCGGTGACACAGTGCAAACCCTTCAAAGGGTTCAGATTGAGTTTATCTGTGTGTCCGTGCAGGTAATCCAGCTTCAGGCCTAGGGCCTGGGCAGGCCATAAATCAAGCTGAAATAAAGAGAACTTCAGAAGTATCAAATTTAGAGCCAAAACCTCCAGCGGACTGAGCTGCTACACCCACCAGTCCAGGGGTGGCCAAACTGCAGTTTGGGAGTAGCATGTGGCTCTTTCGCACAGTCTAATTTAATGGTAATAAAAAGCAAATTTGCATATTTTTCAATAAAAATGTGTGCATAATATTTGTTCATGTCTTGCAGCTCTCAAACATCTGATGTTGATTCTGTGTGGCTGTTCTGTTAAGCAAGTTTGGCCAGCCCTGCACCTAGACCCAGATCCTGCTTTGTACAGCCAAAGGGGGGGGGCCGCAAATCAACAACAGCTACATCCTGTTAATGCACCTCACAGGTACGCCTGGACTATCTCTTGCTGAGGCTGGGTCTAGTAATATTAAAAGCACCCAGTTATATGATCAGCAGCATCATAACCGTGCAGCTCTGGCTGGAGAGTACTGCTTCACGTAGAGGAGGAGGGGAATGACACACCTGGTGAGAAACTCCCTGCAGGTGCACGGTTAATACATGACAGAGTAGGCATTTCATTCAAATATGCTTCCCCTCCCCTACTTGCAGTTTAAAATTGAGTGGTCAGTGAGAGTTCGGTCTTGTCTCCTCTGATGGGCAATGGCTCTCCAGGATCTCAGGCAGAGAAGGGTCTCCCCCAGCACCTCCTGTCTGAAATGCCATGGGTTGAACCTGGGACCTTCTGCATACAAAACAGACATTCTTCCATTGAGCCACAAATTCCCCCCAAATGCCACAGGAAGCTGCCTTAACACTGAGTTAGACTATTGCTCCTTCCAGCCTAATACTGTCAGGACAGAGTCAGGCAGCAGAATTATTTTGCTGTCAAGCCACAACTGACGGCAAAAGGTGGTTTGCCATTGCCTGCCTCTGATTTGCCACCCTGGACTTCCTTGGTGGTCTCTCGTACAAATACTAACAAGAGCAGAGCCTGCTTAGCTTCCAAGACCTGATGAGATCCGGCTACGTGGGATATCCGTGTCAGGGCAGTAAACATACAGGGGATAAAGATTTCTCCCAGCCTCCTGGAACTTCTTCCAGTCCCTGGAGATGCCAGGTATGGAACCTGTGACCTTCTGCATGCAAAAATGGCTGTGTTACCACTGAGCCCCACTCAAAGGGACTTGGTACGTGGGTACTTTAAACCCAATTGTGAGGAGCACAGCTGATTAATGGATCAGGGACCTCCTGAGGTCTGTTCTGCATTGGACTGCAACTATTGTAAATCTCTCTACACGGGGCTGGCCTTGACTCTGCTCCGGAAGTTGCCTCTAGTGCAGAATGCAGCAGCGTGGGTGTTGACAGCAACACCTGTGCAGGCTCGTGTCCACCCAGTGCTGCATGAGCTGCACTGGCTGCCTATTGAATTCCGGATCCGTTCCAAGGTGCTGGTGCTTACCTTTAAAGCCCTATACAGCCAGGGGCCAGCACACCTTCTAGACTGCCTCTCCCCATTTGAGCCCTGGAGGGCACTGAGGTCCACAAATCAACATCTCTTGGTGGTCCCCGGCCCCAGGGACGTCCGACTAGCCTCGACCAGGGCCAGGACTTTCTCAGCTCTGGCCCCCACCTGGTGGAATGAGCTCTTATATGAGATCAGGGCCCTGCAGGATTTATTACAATTCCACAGGGCCTGTAAAACAGAGCTCTTCCACCGGGATTTTAGTTGAGGCACTGGACGTCCTCCCCCCCCACCCCCGGGCTGGTCTCCCATCAGTGGCCTGGATTCGAATAGCTATCTGGGAACCCACACTCCTTCCACCGGGCATTTGGCCGGCAGCTTTTGGCCAATTACCCACAAGGGGCCTGGATCTGATTAGACATCTGATTTGACACCTGGACTTGATTTGACATCTGATCTCTCAATTTTTACACGGTATTTTATGATTTATTCTGTGCAAACTGCCATTTTAATGTTGTTTTAATTGTATTATATTAACTGATGTAAACCACCCTGAGGCCATTTACGGGGAGGGCGGTATATAAATCAAATAAATAAATAAATTGCCGTACAGGGTACCAGGGATATGAAATGACATCCTCCAAAAGTAGGCATTATTGAGGCCTGCTTGCCACATGACTTCTTTGGACTCAAAGGTCAAGTTCGATACTGGAAGTAAGTAAGGTGTTTTTGTTTTTTTAACTCTTCGGACAGTTCTGTCTCAGGCACACAAGCCAGAATAATTATCCATGAGTTTTGCAGTGGACAAGTATCTGAGAATGCCAGGTTCAAATCCCCATTCTGCCATGGACGACCTCATAAGACTGTTGTAAAGATAAAATGGGGCAAAGGAGAATGATGTAGGCTACTTTGGATCTCCACCGGGGAGAAACGCAGGGTGTAAATAAAGGATAAAACAGGACACAGGATCTTATTCCAAGACACTGAAAGGCTGAACAACACATCCAATTACCATGTCAGATTACACAGGGAAGCCATTGAAATTGATAAAAGTTACAGAATCCCCCCCATCCCCGAAATATAGGAAATAGATGTTGGGGAATATTTTTGGAGACTGTAGAAGCCCTACCTCCTGACAGCCTTATGTTGAAGGCTTGCAACTTGGAGATTCTTCCTTGGATCTTTAAATCCACCTCATCCAGGCCTGTTGGCTGTCCTCCTAACACCCTACCCCCCTCCGGCCAGCAAGCCCTGGGTGTGTTGTCCAACAGCCAGGGAAAGCAGGCAGATGAAAGGGCTGCCAGAGGGAAAGCATATAGAAGCGACAGCTGTCTCAGTTCCCAATTCTGCAGCCAGCGTGAAAGCACAAAAGGAATTTCCAGGTGGCCGGCAGGAAACGCTACA